CATATATACATATATACCTATGTACATATATACATATATACATATATACATATATACATATATACATATATACATATATACATGTACATATATACATATCCCTATCGTAACAAAAGCCCAGTCACAGGGTCATCAGAGACCAAGCGCTGGCCTGGAACTCCGGAGCCATCTCCTAAAGGGATACTCTAGGGTTCTATAAGGGTTTAGGGTTTGGGGTTTAGGGTTGAGGGTTTAGGGTTTAGGGGTGTAGGGTTTAGGGTTTAGGGTTTAGTCTAGGTTCCCTTTCAGGGTTTTGGGTTTTGTTTGTTGGTGGTGATGCCTGTAAATGAAAGAAGCGGACGATCACACTTGCCAACGAAGCACTAATGCTTCCCGCATGGCTTCACTTAGAAGCCTCATGCGAAAGGACTCTGCAATCCTTTTCCTTCACAGCACACGCGAATGCACGCTCGTCCCTTCAAGAAGCCTACCTGGCAAAAGGAACTGAGTTGAGTTGAGAGGAATGCAAAGACAGGATACATAAGCTCTGGCAGAACACAGACTCTGTACACGGACTTGACATGCATCAAGAGCCTGAGGCGACTTTGGGTCCACTTAGCAGATCATAAGTGGTATACGCTAGAGTTAAGGGGTCATAACCTACTATTTTGTAGGTTTTGGGACAGGTAGGGTGGCTGTGAGATGCGCTGCTTCCAGGGCGGCTTCGGATTTGCGGCTTAGGGTTTAAAGGTTTGGGGTTTGGGGACGAAGGACGTTAGGGTGTTGGGTGTAAGGAGTGGGCAATCTCAGGGTTTAGCGCTCAGGGTTTAGGGTTTAGGGTTTAGGGCTCTTTGAAGGCTGAGATCCTGGAAGAACCCTCTCCTGTTTGTAGTCGCTGTTCGCGATCTTGTTTACGATTGCCCTTGCATCATGCTTGGCCGTTGTATGCTTGCCGAGGCATTCGATAAACAAGCGTTCTGGAAATGGGACCGGCGCGGGTGTCGTCGGCATTGTCGTCGGCTCTGACCTGTGACAAGGGTTTAGGGTTTAGGGTTTAGGGAGGCTTCCAGCGTGGGTCCCATGTCGGTCTCTCTCTCTCTCTCTCTCTTGCTCTCTATGTCCGTGTAACCCTCTCTCAGCCCTGCTATAACCCCAACATATATATATATAAGAGCCTCTGTTTAACCCAGGGTTTCTTAATCAGGTTCCTATATTAGACCTCTCTGTGCTGACTAATTGTGGACTGTGTGCCTTCCTGTGCATCTACCTCCATCTGATCCCAAACCAGAACCTAAAGCCACACGCCACGAGGAGTCATCGCAGTCTCCCACTCACAACATGGCAATACCTGGGCCCTAAACCCTAAACCCTAAACCCTGGATACTCATGAAGGAAGGCTTTGAGACCCCTTCAAGGCCCAGGGGTTTTTTCTGGGCGGTTCTTGACAGGGCCTTCGTCAGATCTGGCCCTAAACTCTACCCTAAGCCCAGAGAGCCTAATAGCTCTTAAATAAGGAATAGAGCTTATACCACAATATGAAGGCCCCTTAGAATTGAAGCCATATATTCCTTAATTAAGGGTGTATGGGGTTCTCTGGGAACCCTAAACCTCATCGATCCGGCCTGCGACGCCGCGAAGCCGTGGGAAGGCGCCCCGGCGGGTCCTCCTCCGCATCCTCCAGATAATATGGGTCCTCCAGATAATATGGGTCCTGCGGGAATCGAAGAATTTGAAGAAACCCCGTGGTTCTAGGGTTTAGGGTGTAGGAATTAGGGTGCAGGGTTTAGGGTGTAGGGTTTCGGGTGTAGGGTTTAGGGCTTAAGGGTTTAGGGCCCAGGGTGTAGAGTGCAGGGTTAATGTCTGAATGGAATTCAGAGGAAGCATAGTGCACCGAATCCTAAGCCAAGATCCCTAATTAATAAGAGAACTTGGCATCCGCATTAAGGCGTTCAGTAGGCATCTCTGTTTGGGGATTTGGAAGCAAACCCTGAAACCCCCTTAACCCAAAAGTCCCTAGAAACCCTAAACCCTGAACCCTAAACCCCAAACCGGAAACCCTAAGCCCTAAACCCTAAACCCTAAACCCCAAACCAGAAACCCTAAACCCAAAAGCCCCATCACCACCAAGCCCCCGGGAGCTCCAAAGCCCCCGGGGTTCAGGGGTGTTTGTGGAGGTTCCAGGCTGTTTTTTTTTTTTAGGGCCCTTTGCCGTCTGCTCGAAAAGTCTCCAGCTCAGGAATCCTCTGTTGAGGCGAGCAACGAGTTGTGGCTTTTAGGGTTTAGGGTTTCGGCTCCTCAATCAGATTCCTAAACTGCAAAGATGGAGACCTGGGGTGCAGATCCCTACATTGCAAAACTTTGAGGCCTCAGGCGTACTCGACTGCGTGACCGAACGGGTTTAGGGTTTAGGGTTTAGGGTTTAGGGTTTTGGGTTTAGGGTTTAGGGTTTAGGGTTTTGGGTTTAGGGTTTAGGGTTTTGGGTTTAGGATTACATGGTGGGCTTTTGGAAGGGGCACCTCGTAGAGAAATACCTAGGACCGCCGGTGAATGGGTTTATTTCTCTACACTCTAGTCTAAACGCCTAACACCCTAGACCCTGAAACCCTAAACCCCAACCGTACACTAAACCCTAAACCCTAAACTACACCTCCGGTCTTTTTCCCGCACCGGACTATCCTCCACCTCCTGCCTCTGCTTCTTAGCCTTTTCGATCTCCTCCTTCCTGGGCCGTTGCTCGGCACTCTAGGGTTTAGGGCTTCAGGGCTTGAAGTGTTTAGGGTTTAGGAGTTCAGGGCTTAAGGTTTATGGGTTAAGGGTCTAGGAGTTTAGGACTTTAGGACTTTAGGAGTTTAGGGGCTTTGGGGTTAGGGGTTGGGGGATTAGGAACTAGGGTCTATGGAAACTCTCCAACTGCGGTTCTTCGGCTAGGACCCGAATGCAAGCTAACAACGCAATCACATGAAGAACTACATTGACGGTCTAGGTTGAGATAAAATTGGAGCCCCCGTGCAGAACCCTTATAGGAACCTTACAAAGCCCCCTGTTCATCATATAGAGTGCTTTACAGTCTATACGAACTTAACCACCAAACATTGATTGAAGTCTACACTTCTACGTCCACCCGTAGTATTGCTGACAGTCAACGAACTTCTCATGTCTATGTATCTATCTATTTGCCGATTGGAACACAGTACTCCTCGATTCGTTCTATCTATCGACCTACCAACCATCTATCTAATCTATCTACAGAATCACTACATGCATCCAGAATCAAGCTGGCCATGCACTCGTTCAGCTCACCTGTTGAAGCCTCAAGATCACACATCTTCCCGGCGATGTCATTTTTGAGCTCTGCGACGATGGCGCGCTGCACATACTGTTCGGTCCACTCCATCATGAGCTTCATGACGGCCTCCTCCTTCGAAAAGGGCGGTGGGAAGAAAGCTTGCCAGAGACTCCCCAGGATCTCAGACCAGAAGCCGCTGATGGCAGCTTTGAGAGCGATGGCTCCGATCTCTTTTACCATGTTCTGCATGCCCTGGTAGAACCATTCCTTCGCCCAGCGCTTCCTGGCACAGGGTTGCCCGTTCTGATGCTTCTACTAAACTCTGCTACGTTCAACTCCACTCCCCTCGCCTCTCCTCTACTATAGTCTACCATACCATACCATACTATACTATGCTAAACTATGCTATACTATGCTATACTGTGCAATACTATGCTGTACTATATTATACTATGCTATATTATGCTATACTATGCTATACTGTGCTATACTATGCTGTATTCTGCTGTGCTAAGCTATAGTATGCTATACTGCCATACTATACTATGCTATACTATACTATACTATATTATACTATACTATACTATACTACACTATACTATACTATACTATACTATACGATGCGGGACTACATTGTGCTGTATTGTCAGTACGATATTGAGGACATTATATATCCAGTGTGGAACAATGGCTCCTTACCTCTACACATACGTACGAGATCCCAAAATCCTTCAGGCATAAGAAACTGCGGCAACCTTAGTCCATTCACGGGAACACAGGAACCTCCAAGCAAGGCATACCCTCTACCAAACATCACCCCCTAATCTTATGTAGGGAAGCTATGACGAGGACAGCCCTGTCCTAGCATCGTCCACCTCGCTACCAACGCTGCTGTTGGAGACACTGACGACCTTCTGATGCAAAACTTGCCGAGGGTTTTGGCTTCTGCGGGGTTCGGGACTAGGGATTAGGGTTTAGGGGCTGAGAATTTTTTCGGGATGGTCTGCTACTTTCCGGCTGGGAAAAGCTCGTAAGTGATCTGGCGAGCCGATTGAAGAGGAAGCTCAGGCCTGAGACTAAGCCCGACTCTTTAAATCCTAAATTTAGGGTTTAGGGTTTAGGGTTCCTAAACCATTACAGTTCTCCTTCGCCTACGTCGGCATGCCGATTCTAGGGTTCAAGGAAACGCGGGGCCGTGGCTTCAAAGGAAAACCCGCCAGCGGGCGCTACCCCGAAGTCGAGCCTGCAAACCATCAACTCCTCAAGACATCCATCTCCCTGAACCCTAAAACCCTAAACCTCTGAAGCCTAAAACCCTAAACTCCTGAAACCCCAAACCCTTGAACCCTAGACCCCAAACCCTTAAACCCCAAACCCTTCAACCCCAAAACCCTAAACCCTTAAACCCTAAAACCCTAAACCCTTCGACCCTACAGCCCAGCTCCAACCCGAAACCTGAAGGTCATGCGGTTCAGGGCTTAGGGCTTAGGCATGGTTCTGGCATAAATCCTGCATTACTCCAGAATAAGGAATATACCAGAATTCCCATAGTTTAGGGTCCGTAAGGCAATGCAGGATTTCTGTCATCAACAGTACCGGCTGAATCCCAAAGCTCTGCTCCGTAAACAATGAACCCAAGCGAAACTCGCAGTACCTCAAAGTTAAAGGAAACTACAGGTGAGGAGTTTAGGGTATATAGGGCTTCTATAAGATATATAGACCTTCTACAAGGCTCCTAGAACGGTATCTACTCACCTGAAAATGTCCTAGACTCAAAACCATCTGTCTCGCTGGATTGCACAGTGCTAACGCTCATCCAACGACTCCACAACCCTGAGGTGCTGAAGGTACCTTTTGCTCTGGGGGGGCCCTTCATGTGACTTGAGGCATGTTCTTTCAATTCGAGAGTTTTGGTGTTTCAAGGTAAAGGTGAGCTCGGAGTCGAACTTTTAGAGTTTAGGGTGCGGGATTTCGGTTGTGGGGTTCAGGGATGGTTTACACCCTTCGGGATTGATTTGATTGTTGAGGGCTTGGGGAGGGCTGCGAGTGGGTTTTGGAGCCTGGGGATTGAAAAGTAAGAGGGCTTGGTTCCGGGAGTTGTAGGTTAACTGGCTTAAGAATCAGCGCTTGATGCTTTGGATTTCGTTCGCTTTAGATGGATCAACAGAACCTGTCCCTGCTCGGCAGCAAATCACTCGAGACAAACGGAGCTTGATTTTCATCCTGATACGAACCCTGACTGAAACCCAGTCAGATATCAAAGGCTTTAGGTCTTAGGGTTTGTGGTTTCCGGATGTTTCCGGGCTTGGGGTTTAGATTTTGAGATCCCTCCACCTCCCGCGGCGGGATGGGGCTCTTCGGCAGCATCCTCTTCAGACATGCCCGGTACCTGGAGATCGATTGACAGAAGCTCAGCCTAGGACATTTTCAGGCGGGTAAGGTCTATATACCTTATAGAAGCCTTATGGAAGCCCTATATACCCTAAACTCCCCACCTGTAGTTTCCTTTAACTCAGAGAGTCTCCAAAAGCCACGACAAAACACCATCTCCAAATGCCATGAGCTTCCCCCAGACGCTTCAGAAATGTCTGCCCAGCAGAAATAACGCCAAGCTTCAACTTTGGTATGACAACATGTAGGGTTTAGGGTTTAGGATTTAGGGTTTAGGGTTTAGGGTTGAGCTTTTAGGATTTAGGGCTTAGGGTTTAGGGTTCAGATGTACAAGCTTAACGAGGACAACTCCTGACATCTTCAAAAATTCCTCTGACAGTCCCCCCAGGCCCCACCTGTCTGTGTCGGGCTGGGTGACGACAGGTCGCGGGGGCTGCGCTAGGGCACAGGATTCCTGGCGCAGGTACTTGAGGAATTTCTAGGAAATCTTAGGAATCTCTAGGAAATCCTAGGAATCTCCAGGAATCTCTGAGGATCTTCGGACTTCGTAAGTAGGGAAGGCTTCGGGTTTAGGGACGCAGCATCCAGAGCTCGGGGGTCAAGACCAAAACAGGCAGATGGACCCACAGATGCCATCACGCAAGTAAGATTTCGTAGAGTCACTTTGTCTGGAATTTTTCTATCGAAATTCGCAAACTTTAGACCGCAGACGGTCCCGACCGCAACACTAGTTGAGGGGGATTCCGAGACTCCGCTTTAGGGTTTAGTTTCAAGTTTCGGTTCCTCTTGCCGGCGACTTCCAACTTGGGGTTCAGCTTGCCAACCTTGGGGTTTAGGGTTTAGGGTTTAGGGTTGATAGAACCGAACTTCGAGCGCAAGTTTGGGAAGTGAAATCTGTACACATGGAGTGTCGCATGTGCACACACATGGCTTCGCATATTGTGTACATACCTGGGCGCCGGTGTAACAGGCAACGTGTGCAACATCTACGCACGTACAGTCGTAGGTAACGCCATACGTATGCATACAAGTATCACATACAAATGTGATCATGCACGTTTACTCGACAATGCGCAAACAAGCAGCGCGGGTACAAGCTCTGAACAACACAAGTTCCAATGGTTGTGCGCTGGGCATTCTGGGCCCCACCCCCTGCCGTGCAATATGCATAGCCCCCTCCCGCCACCTACTGCAAGACCGAAGCTTGAATCCAGCAGACGAAACATATTCACAATGATCACAGTTAATATGTAAGTATGTCTGTCGCTTTATCTGTTTGCTGTCTGTACGTATGTGTATATACTGTCTGTATGCAAACCTGTATAAAAGCCTTCAATCACATACACAGACACAGATACATGTGTTCATACACCTGGGCAGAACAAAACAAAAAAAATGTGAAATGCAAAACATGGCGGCACAACTAGATAGACACATGTAGATGCGCATCTAGCTGCACATATCATCTCCAGAAATACTGCGTGCAGAATACCTGCCGGTGTGCATGTTCACGAAAAGCAAACACAACCGCAGAAGAACCAGGAATACAATGATTCAAACCACAGTCCTCGGAATCTTCCGGGTCGGTGGCTATCGCACCAGCTGCAAGGAACAACAGCCAGAGACAACGAAGCGGCGCCATTTTCGAAACCTTTCCGACACGACGGTGGCTCAAGGCGCTCCAACAAGTCCTAACTTGTGCAAAGAGCAAACACTAAGTCACTAAGTACGAAACTCACTCTTGCTGAGACGAGCATGCAGAGGATATGACACTTTAGCAGGTAACATGTGCAAAAAAAAGTTTTCGTCCGCTGTTCATGCTTCACACAAGCCGCGCTGCTCAACTTTGTGTTCAAATCTACTCACAGACGCTGAGCCACGTGTCGATGCATCGCAAAGAAGCTATTTACACGACCAGATTGAAATTGAATGTTCAACATTGGTTTCCAAAATCTGACATGCGCCTTCCTCAGAGTCCTGCGTTTTTGCCGCAACATTGCCGTAACTGCCCTGAGTAGAAGCGGAAAACACCAAACAAGGGCTTCCGGCTGCCCAAAAGACTTGCCACAAGGCGCTCCCGTATGTGGTATTAGAAGCCTGCAATCTCTTCGTTAATTTTGAATAGGCTCTGGGGAATCACGATCCAATATAGAGCCTTAACAACCAAGAAGAGTGTTTTGAAGTATATTCTGGTATACATTAAAATAAGGAACCCGACAGACTAATATCGGCAATTGTTCATGACTCAGGCTTCTACATTATCGCCGCGCATCATACCCCAAAACGCTACTCTAGTTGATTTAAGTCCTCTAAATTATGGATGCCTCATAGAACCTGAAAATAAACGGACCGGCAGCTGGCAACTGACGACTTTTTCTGTCGATGCTTGGCCGAACCAGGTCTTACTTGGCTAGATAATCACTAGAGTAACTCAAAACCGCCTGCAGTGTCGCTGCTACTACCTGGCTTTGCTTGCCAACACCGTGGCCCACAAACGCTGATCGATCTGTCGTGCGGTCAAGATATGTATGGTCTGAGGTGCAGCAAGGACGAGTGTGGTTGACAAATTCGAACATCAACCAACATCCTGGGTGTTCAGGACAGCAGGGCTTTCACGACAGCGAGGCGCCCGCGGCTGCGACGTGCACGAGCCTCGGATTTGCAAGCAGCGCAAGCTCCGTGGAAATCTTGCAGTCAGAGGTCTTAGCAATCATAGACTGACGATCTGAAGCCCAAGAACCAATCGTATAGGACTTTTGGCCCGTACAGCCGCTCAAGTGCTCTCCGGAATCCGGAATTCTGTTTTGTTGTTTGAAGTGAGGAAAACTAAACCCAAGCTAGGAAAACGGAATGCAAAAAGACAGCTCGCTCCTCCTTCGGCTTTGAACCGTCGGAGCAGCACAAAGAAGCTCCCGCTGTCCATGCAAGCACCAGTGTTTATCTATGCCCATGAGAGCTTTAAATCCTGCGTGATTTATTGAGCTACTATGAAAAGGTGGCTGTCCAAGACCTACACCATCCAAGGAAGCATAGGCTGGACATAGACGTCTAAAATTGTGCTGCTTCAAACCCGAGGGCATGGAGTGTACACGAAGGCGAGCCGCGCTGTACAAGCAAGCGGGCAGCCTGAAACCCAGGGTTCTGAACCTCACCCATAATTAAACACTTATGGGAATTGGCAACTAAGCTTTTGAAGACGGCAACTACTTCAAACCCCAACTGAGGTACCTATAACCTTACTTACTAAGTCCAATGATCTTCCAAGTAGGCATGGTAGAGTACACTATATGATAACACATTATAGTGTATCATAGTCCACTATCGTACATTATGGTGTAGCATGCTATAATACCTTATTGTTAGGGTTGAATGTTCAGGGCACAGGTCATAACCCCGGAAGACCAGATCTCAGCGATCTCAAAACCGGAAACATAGCCTCCGACCGGCAGCCATGCACGCTGTAGAACCAAATATCTGAAAGGGAGCCGCCCAGAAAAAGACATCAAAAGTCATCAAGTAGTCTTCACGTACGAACCTTACATAGAACAACGCCTGGTACAAGGTGCACAACTGATTGGAAGCATCTTCCCTGAAGGAGTTGCTAGAACTTCGAACTGCTTCTGAGGAACCAGAGTTTACGATCGTCGAGTAAAGCGCGGAACCCCAAAAACGCTATCCACCAAGCTGCCCTCAGCACCACAAGAGATCGCGAATTCGACATAGGAGGCGCAAGGACTGCGGGCAGGCAAGCATGGGCGTCAGCAGTTCAACGATCGGAGTTTCACGGTTTAAGCACGGATTACGCTTGAGCGTTTTGTGTGAGGCTTAGGATCGGGTTGGGGGCTTCTGTGTTTCGGAAGCTTGGCGACAACTGGATTTGAGGCTTAAAGGTTAAGCTTCTTTGGACTTGGTCGTTTGCCACTTCCGCGTGCTAGTTTGCATTTGAAGCTCACGGTTTGGGCTCTTGACGTGAAGATTGGGCTGTGAATCAAGCTGTCATAGACCGCATTCCAAGAGCAGCTCGGGTTCAGGGGTGGTTTAGGAGTTTAGGGCTTGCAAACAATTCGCTAAGCCACAAGACTGACCCACCAAATTGCCCGATGTGGAAATCGTGGGCTTCCAGAGGGACTGAAACGACCCTGCAGGAGGACCGGAGCTCCGCTGCACAGTGCAAACAGGGTTTAGTGTGTAGGGTTTGGCGGTCCCCACAACCAAAACAAATTCGAGAATATGTTACAAGGTCTGTGCGCATTCAGCGCAGATCACCCGACACCCTAATCGGCCCCAACGCAAACTGGAACCTGTCTAATATTACATCACAGCTCGCGAATGAACACCTTTTCATCGCTTCACCGCATCATCTCCTACGTGAGCACATACAACCAACGGTTGGCACGTAGTGCCGACCTCGGTTGATGATATATGTAATACCCTTATTAAGGAATGTACCATAATTCCCATAGTTTAGGGTCCTTAAGGTAATGCAAGATTTACATCATCAACCGTAGGAGAAGCCGCGGGCCTTCAACGGCAACATTCGGATAAAGTTGGACAACAGACCTCACAACCGGAACACAACACGGCAACATTCGGATAAAGTTGGACAACAGACCTCACAACCGGAACACAACCTTTAAGCCTCGAAATTTTGACACGTAAGCTCTAAAACTCCACCGCAGCCCTGGAAAAATAAATTCAAAATCCAAACCCTGCAACCTGAACGGCCGCATTGAAAGGGAGGTCTGCACAAAAACTGGTCCATGACTGTGCGGCAGCTGCGACGTCATCACCTTCGAAACTCATGACATTTAGAGCACTTGAAGGTTCATGAATACATACAAGAGCAGAGTAGGAAGTAAACCGGCCATACACACCTAAGTAGCTATACATTACACAAGGAGCTGCTAACGACCCTGAAAGCGTGAATAAAGCTTCACGTGCCCCGACACCGACAAACAAGGCTCCGCAATCACAAGGTGAGCGATGAAGTGCGTGCACGGCACGTGGACGCAAAACTTCAGCAAGCAGATGCTTGGGCACAAGTGCCTTCTGACCGTGCACACTGGGCCACTCCCCGTCGCTTGCCGCTTAAGCTACTGGCATTGTTAGGTCCATCGGCAACAAAGACGGGTCGATGCCGAGCATTGCTTGCTGCGGGGCTAATCGGCGAATCAATGCGGCAGCTCTAACCTTCGAGAGTTCCTGCACGTGATGAGTGCTACAAGCTTCTTGATGGCATCAGTCACGATACTCGCCCTCGGTGTCGGGAACGGACCGCAGCTCTTCGCTGCGAGCACGGCGGTTCATGCGGCCACGGCGAGTCGGAGTCATACGCTGCCCGTAGCTCAGGATCGATGGCGGAAGCTCAGGGAAGTTCTCCTGGGCTGATGCTCGGGAGACGGTTTAGGGTTTAGGGTTTAGGGTTTCGGGTTTAGGGGTCGCTGCTGATGGCAGAAGACTCTGATACACGAGGAAGCAGAGAGCATGCTTTCCTCTTTCTGTGCTTGTCTAATGCTTGCGGTTTGCCAAAGAAGTCTAGCATCCACAGGCTTGTCAGGCATGAACGATATCGCAAACACTGTTACGGATCCAGCAATCTCGGCCGTGCTTGTGAGCTCCGCAAGCCTGCCCTCACAAACTTGAACCTGCTGCCCCACTCGGAGTTGGTGTGCCGGCACCTGAAATGCGAGATGTTGAGACTGGGATTCAGATGCTCTTCACGGAGTGGGTTTGGGGGAATTTGAATGGGGCTTCGGGTTTGCAAGGGCGGCATGATGGTGTAAAACTTGCATATAGGATGCATAGGGAAAGGGCTTCGGATTTGTAGAATTCTGCGCTTTATGCCCGAGTTCAAACAACGAATTTTGCTGAAGACTGCAGCGACATCCGGATCCCTAAACCAGAAACTCTACACCCCGAATCGTAAACCGGGCAATCTGCCAAGTCGCCTTTTGCCCACCTGCAATAGGCACCCGGTGGTCACGGGTGACCCTAGGCCTGGCTGCGGGCTCTTCAAGAGATTCCGATGAAAGAGCCCTACGGTTTGATGGCTTGCAGGGTTTAAGATTTAGGGAGTTTGGGAGTTTGGGGTTTCGGGTTTAGGGAACTTTAGGGTTTAGGGTTTCGGGTTTGACGGACTTTAGGGTTGAGCGTTTAAGGGACTTTAGGGTTTAGGGTTGAGGGTTTAAGGACTTTAGGGTTTAGGATTCAGGGTGTAAGGGAATTTTGGGTTTAGAGTTGAGGGTTTAAGGGACTTTAGGGTTTAGGGTTGAGGGTTTGGGTACCCTCAGCCCGGCTGCACCAGCTTGCAAGAAAACCGTTGAGCTGGCCTGCACTGAAAACCGTCAGGACCCGTAAGCTCGATGGACAGAATAAGATTCGGAATACTACACTACTACAGTTACACCCAGATTCTATCATGGGAGATCTCATTCAGACGACGACGAACACATTGGAAAGTGCTTGTTCTAGGAAGATTTGAAGCTTGACCACACATACAGCTACTGCCTCGTTCTGCGGGGGCGAAGCGATCTCCACGACGGAGCCATCCACTGACAGGATCCTCGACCTTGGCGCACATCCTCGATGCGCAGCAGTGCGCAGTGCGCCTGTCTCCCCTTGAACATTGTGCCTGCCACAAAGCAGCACGGCCCTGTGGTTTCCGCCAACCTGTCAGAGAGAGAGTTCTCCGTCACTGCGGACCCCCGAAATAGCATCGCCCACAAGCGTCCACGATGCCTCAGACACCTCGCTCACAGAGCTTTGCTCGTCAGCAACAGGAACGTGGGGAGCTCCATTCAGTCGCCTGCCTTCCTGCCAAGTCTCAGCAAGCCTGCGCTTCTCGATCAAAAGACTCTCGGTGCGGCGCATTAGCTGGGCGACTGCACTTCGTGCAGCGCGGAGCTCGGTCTGCAACTGGACCTGGCATGCGGCATAATGTTTCCAACTAATGATATTCCAGTTGATCCAGGGAATGTCGAAGCCAAACGTCAACCCCAAAAAGCCCCCAAACCCATTCTCAAACGACACCAACCAAAGAGCACTCCTAACGGTATGTAAGCAAAGACGAAGCCGGCAAGCTGTGAGTTTACTTCATCGCGCTTTCCAGGCCGACGAGTCATGTTCGCGAAGTAATGATTTGGACACAAACTGCGAAGAGGGTCCAGCTGGAGCGTGATTTTCTGATCCTGAACACAAGAACCCTGTCTGTGTATTCCCGTTTTGATTTGGGAATCTCCCAGCAAATCAAGCTGACTCTGAAGGCCTCTGCCTCTGCCGCTCGGTGCATCGCCGGAGGCTCCATCGAAGCCAAAACAAATTTAAAGAACTGCCGAGAATGAAGCATGGTATTCCACCAAGGAATTCTTACCTCACGAAGTTCGCCATCGGCCGCATCGAGATTGTTCCCGCCTCCCTGGCACTTCGATTGTGTGGCGCCAGCAAGTCAGCTGAGAAAGACGATTGCCACTACCCACCATGGAGATCTTTCGATCCAGCACAAAATGCCTGCAGCTCTGTTCCTCGAGCCTGTGGAGCTGCATCCATGAAATGTATTTCGAATTGTCAAAATGCAAACTACCCCCACCATAAATAATTCTGAAATAAAGACGTTCCGACCTGTTTGCTGGACTGCACAATCATGCGATAAAGCTGGACCAAAACAGTGTTTTCTGCTGTGCTGCCTACGAAATGAAACTGGACCCCGAATTACAGACTGCGAGAAACCAAGGTGTTTAGTGGTCGGCGTGCGGTTCGCGGCAACATCGACGTGGGTTAGAATCTCTTAGCGGCTCGCGCCAGCAGACTGGAAACAGGTGAGCAGCATTTTCAATAAGTCATGAAACCGCACATCGATGCAGGGAACTACCTGTAAACCTTCGCACATTCGGTCACTAACGGCACTAGAGTACACATTGACCCACATGACCACAATGATGGATGCATGAACCCAGTAAAAACCAACGAAAAGCACGGTGCCTACCCAGCATGGGTCTGAAAACACAAGTCGGGGGGCTCTGAGACAAGTATCAGCACAACACCCCTTCTTTCCGCCTTCGAAGCCTTCGAAGAAGCTTTAAGTTAGGCTCATTTCTTGCTTTCTTTTTTTCTTTTTTTTGGTTTTTAACCCCCCAAAAAACGTTTTCGTGTGGCTGTCTGCTTTTGTACCGTGGAGTCCATAGTGCAGACAAGTCTTTGCCTGGAAAGTTAGGGACTTT